AAAAAAAAAATGTCATACTGCCTTACCTTGATCTCTGAGAGGTTAAACCCTGTTGTTTCCATAGTGCCTGTGAGTTATATTTGAAATCAGCATTTATTTTCTTGTTCTGAGCCTATTCTTTCCTAATTAATTTAGTGCTTACAATGGTTATAACCTACTGGGAAAATATGTAGGGAAAACCTAAAAGGACTAAGGGAGAAAAAGGTTAAAGCATTAATTTGACTTAAAAGGAATATGCTCCTCATTCAACCTTCACAACATTTACTTTTACTTATTTTTCCTCGGGTAAGTTATCTCTCAAAGGAGTCTATTCTCATGGCTTCAACGGAGAGCTGATTTTGAAAGAAGTCATTTCCTCTGAATTGAGTCCTGACCTTTGCTTTATTTTTACAGAGGCCTCCCTTCTCTCCCTGCTGCTGCCCTCCCGTATTTTACAATTACTCCTACCTTAAGTCGATTTATGCTTCCCATGTGCCTCAGGAGGGGGTTAGCCCATGCCCAGCTGTTTTGGATTTACATACGACCCCGTCTCTCCAAAATCCTGACTGAAAATGGCCTCATCAATGCAGGATAGCACAGGCTACTTCCTGAACATACAGATACACATTTCCTTAGGAAATACACCGATTTAAATTTCCACCTGCTCTTTCTGGATTTACATTATTTACCAAGGAGGTTATGCATCTGTCCTGCCCACTCCTTACTATTCCACTTGATTTACTTTTATTTGGCTTTAAGCAATAAAAGGTGACTGAGAAGAAATGATTCATTTCTAGGTGCCCTGAGGAAATGTGAGAGCACAATTTTCTTCTATTTCACCAAAGATGAAGGCTTAAAGTAATTTTTCCCATTTGATCATTCAATCCTGAAGATAAGCTTCAGGAAATATCAGCTGTCAGAATTTATTTAAGACTTTTTTTAAAGCAGTTTTAGGTTTACAATAAAATTGAGGAGATAGAGATTTCCAATTTAACCCCTGCTCCCACTCATGCATAGATGGTCTCCCCCGTTGTCAACATCGCTCACCAGAGTGGTACATTTTTTTTTCCTTTTTAACCAATGGTGAACCTATACTAACACATCATAATCTCCCAATGTCCGTAGTTGACCTTAAAATTCATTCTTGGTGTTGTATATGACAGGCGTGTGGACAAATGTATGGCATATATCCATTATCATATCATACGGAGTATTTCCACTGCCCTGAAAATCCTGTTTTGCCTATTCATCTCCTTCCCCAATCCCCTCCACCTCTGGTAACAATAAGGTACTATTACACTCCTAGTTTTTGTCTCCCTACTTTTTTCAAAATGTCGTATAGTTGAAAACAGATATTATGTAGCCTTTTCAGATTGTCTTATTTCACTTAGCAATATGCATTTAAGGTTTCTCTGTCTTTTCATGGCTGGATAGCTTTCCTTTTAGTGCTGAATAATACTCCATTGTTTGGATGTACCACTGTTTATCCATTTATCTACTAAAGAGCATTTGGTTGCTTTCGAGTTTTGGCAATTATGAATAAAGCTGCTATAAAGATTTATGTGCAGGTTTTTGTGTGGACATTAAGTTTCAACTCCTTCCTACCAGCAATGACTAAAGAGTTCCTGTTGCTCCATATCCTTGCCAGCTTTGGGAGTTGCCCATGTTCTGGACTTTGGCCATTCTAATAGAGTTTAATAGTACCTCATTGTTTTAATTTGTATTTCCCTGATGACATATGACATTTAAGGTTTTTTCATGTTTCTTCGCCGCCTGTTATGTCTTCATTGTTGAGGTGTCTGTTAAGGTCTTTGGCTCATTTATTAATCAGGTTGTTTGCTTTCTTTTTTTATATATATTTTGGATAGCATTATTTTATCAGGTATGTCTTTTGCAAATATTTTCTCCTAGTCTATAGCTTGTCTTGTAATTCTGATATTGGCTTTTGCACAGCAGAAAATTTTAATTTTTACAAAGTCTATCAATTCTCTTCCCTGGGTTGTGTCTTTGGTGTTGTATCAAAAAAGGCATCACCATACCCAAGATCATATAGGTTTTTTCCTATTATCTTCTAGGAGCCTTATAGTTTCATGTTTTATATTTAGGTCATTATATAGGTCATGTATTTAAATCATAATCCATTTGAGTTATTTTTGTGAAGGGTATAAGGTTTGTGTCTAGCGTTTTTTTGTGTTTTTTTTTTTTGCATATGGATGTCCAGTTGTTCCAGCACCATTTGCTAAGGCACTATTTTTGGTCTATTGTATTGCTTTTGCTTCTTTGTCAAAGATTAGTTGACTATATTTATAGATCAGCATTTATTTTTAACCAATCCACAAAGCCTTCACCTACTCTTCTTGCAAAAAATAGTAACATTGGTTAGTGCATTGGATGGATTATGAACATCAATAGTTTCAAAAAGTAAAGTTGGATGTTTTGGATAGTAATTTCAATTTAGTATGACAGCAAACTGCTTGTGACCGCTTTCCCTCCATCATTTCCATGATTGACATGACTGACCTTGCTGGCCAGGTGAGGAGCCCTTTCTTTTTCAACTGAGCCACCCAGGCGCCCAAGGAGCCCTTTCTACCAAAACATGAGCCTCCACTTTGAAAATGCTTGCTCAGCCAAACAGGATGCCCTTCCAAGAGATGGAGGGGTATAGGAGTACTTGTATTTCTTAAATACTTTCTCATCCGTGACTTTTCTTTTATTCCGTGGCCTATGCAATGGAGGTTTTTAACGTGGAGTCTGTGGACCTCTAGGTTGCACACGAACGGATTTTAGAGGATCCAGTCTTTTCAAAAACTATGCAAAATTTTGGGTGAATGTGCAGATGTCTATTATCCTGAGGGAAAGTGGCCAGAGTGTTCATCAGATTCTTTTTTTTTAAAGATTTTACTTATTTGACAGAGAGACAGTGAGAGCAGGAACATAAGCAGGGGGAGTGGGAGAGGGAGAAGCAGGCTTCCTGCCAAGCAGGGAGCCCGATGTGGGGCTGGATCCCAGATCCCAGGACCCTGGGATCATGACCTGAGCCGAAGGCAGGCGCTTAACGACTGAGCCACCCAGGCCCCCCGTGCTCATCAGGTTCTTAAAGGGTTATGTGAACCCAAATAATTAAAGCCACTGTTAACCACTCATGTTAAATTCTATGGCTCAGATAATCCTGGTATTTCACAGAATTATACCTAGCACAAAGGACAATGAAACTGTGAAGTATTTATTCTCTATGATTTATGTTTATGTATTTGCATGTGTGGATATTGCATAACTTTCCTCTGATCTTTCTACTGAAAAGCCTTTGAGGGTTTGAAAGTTTTGTTCAATATAAATCACTGTCATCACACCACCAGGGTGAATCCTTATGTACAACCACATGATCTGGACATGAGAGCTGAGAATCATCGTCGTCTACTCTTCCATGCCTCCATAAATCTTAAGGAAAACATTATTTAATCTAATCATAAAATTATTAAAATCTTAGCTACACCTTTCAATTTTCACTTAAATGTGGAATCTGAAAAAAGGAAAAAATTTAACTCCTAGAAACAGTGAGTAGAAAAGTGGTTGCCAGAGGCTGGGGGCTGGGGAATATGGAGGGGTTAGTAAAAGAGAACAAACTTTCAGTTATAAGATAACTAAGGTTTGAGGATCTAATGTATAACATGGTGACTATAGTTGATAACACTACTGTATAACTGAAATTTGCCAAGAGAGTAGAACTCAAATGTTCTGGGCAGGGGTGGGGGGGTGCGGGTGGGGAGAGGCAACTGTGAAGTGATGGATGTATAACTAACTTGATGGGGGTATCCTTTCACAGTGTATATGTGCATCAAATCATCACATTGTATATTTTAAGAATCTTACCATTTGGAGGTACCTGGGTGGCTCAGCTGGTTGAGCATCCACCTCTTGGTTTTGGCTCAGGTCATGATCTCGTGTGTTGTAGGACTGAGACCTACTTTGGGCTTTGTGCTCACTGGGGAGTCTGCTTGAAGATTCTCTCCCTCTGCCCCACCCCCTACCTGTGTGCACATGCACATGCTCTCTCTCTCTCAAAAAATCACATCAAATCTTAAAAACAAAACAATATTTTCATCACATGTGGTCAATGCTGGCCTCACACAACCCAGGATTTTTGTGGACCTAGGTGAGGGAAAGTATAGCAAAGAGTATGGGGGCCTGCAGAGAAGCAAGTGAAAGCAAGAGTAAAACACTTAAATTAGATCTGATTGTTAATACAACCAAACAAGAATAGGAAAAGTACCAAAGCGTTAATTAGAATTAATGTCTAAGGTCTGGTAAAGAGTGAGACATAAATGTGGAAACAAAATTTAAGGCTGCTGGGAAAAAAAAAAAAAAAGAATCACTTTGTTTCTGTTGGTTTACTATGTTTCTAGTGGGTCTGCAAAGCATGAAGCTGCAATGTGAATTATTTTTGTGTAACCCAGATAACACAACACAACTCTTTTTATTTTCCTTGGAAGCTCTTCTTAATATTTAAGATGTCCTGCACTGGAGGCCCCACACTGGGTTATAAAATTGGAATGTAACTGTTAATTTTGGTTCGATGTCTTTGTGAAATGCATTCTGCTATCCACACAATATTTCTCATTTCTTGTTCCTTCAGCTTTGTGTATGCGTAAAACACACCATAGTGGAATTGCCTGTTGAATGCCAGCACGTTCATTTGTACCTGAGGAAGGAAAAAACAATACAGACCGTCACTTACCGGGAGCGTGAGTGTACTACATTTATGAAACAATATTAAACTCCAGACTGGCTTGTGTTTGTACAGTGCTTATTGTATTTAAACAGGCAATGTCCAAACTGGGTCAAATAGAGAAAAACGGTAGCAATTCATTAAGTTCTAAAGGGAACTTTAGTGTCACTCTCCAGATAAAGATAGACTGTAGTAGTTTAAAAAGTAAGTTTATAAAAAAATAAATAAAGTAGGTTTATAGAATCACTAGACAAACTCCAAATCTTTGCAGCACTGCTAGCACAAAGATTCCTGGGAAAATCTTGGTGTTTGTGTGCGTACGTATGTGAGGAACTTTGTAGTAATATATATAGCTGGCTTCTAGCTAGCGGGCTTGTCTCACTTAGGTGAACTATTTTTCCTTGGCCACAACTTTGAAAATGTTAAAAAGGTTTATAGGCTGCCTAACTCTCCTCCAGGGCAATGTCACAGGCCCCTGGAATTTGGAATGAGTGACATTACGAGCTTTCTTAGGATGTTCCGCAGCAACTTGACATATGATTGAGTTAGGTATTTTTTCCTGCAGAAGGTAGATCAGTAAAAGAAAATTAAAAAAAAAATTGTTTAACTGAGGTAAAGTCTGAAATGGAACAATTCTTTTATTCTTTTCCATTTTGAAAAAAGGATGAGAGGTACTAAGTCCCTCATGCAGTTCTGAAAACGTCAAGCTAAGTATTCAGGAAGTGGAGGTCCTTGCTTTCAGGAACACTTATTTTTCGTGCCAAGGGCAGCTTTCTTAACAGCCTTTTTGAAGCAGTTGTGCAATAGTGTGGAATTTAAAAAACATCCCTAATATATGGGATAACTTGCATTGTTTTTGCTTCTTTCTGTGACAGGCCCTAGAGAGCTGTTGGGAAATGTCTGGAGTAGGACTTATAGGAAGGGGCCCGAACTGCTTTCTGAAGCCAGTCCTACCCTAAAATCTGGATAAATTTCAGGGTTTTCTGTCAATCAGTTGAAAGGGAAGGGCCAGAAGTTTTAGAGAAATGAAAAAAATACACTAGAAAAGTTCTCTAGATTTGAGAGACCTTATCTGGTATTCCCATCCCTCTTAAAAAAAGCCCTTTTGTTGAACAGTTCAGTAGCCCAGGAATTGACTATAAATGGATTAAGTACTCCTCTGTTTTTCAGGGAAAGAGAATAGTCTAGACTCTCCAGAGAGACTTCCATATAAATAATTCCTAAGTGTCATAACTGTGCTCCTAAATTATAACTGTAGACAAATCCTTCTTGAGGAAGGGATGGATTAGAGAGTGAGATGCACCTAAAAGAGTATTCACCATGAGGATAGTCAATATATGATCATGAGAATGCCCTAGCTCTGATTCTCTAGTTAATTATGGAATAGCTGCATTCTTTCCAGAGCTTCACTATGTGTACTGGATAGGACACATTGTGTTTCTGGATAGGACAATTCAACGGGAAACCATCATATGTGAACCACTGGGCCTCCAAGGCAGAGATACTAATACCCATTTGGCTGTCAAATTGTGAATGAGCTTAATCAACTGAACTGATCAACTGTAAAAAGAAGCCCCCCAAAAGAAAACCCAAAGTAAGAAAACATCTAAAACAGAGAGTAAGAGAAAAAGCATACATAAATTAAGAGCATTCCCATTTATATCATACCTCACGCTCATAAAACACATCCTCCAATGTCTTTCCTCCACTGCCATCACCCACAGCCTCAAACAAAGGCTTGTATACCTAAAAAACAGAGGCTATTTTTAAACAGATTCTCATTTCTTATATGTATGAAGATATTTTCCTAGCAATATAGAAATGATGTATCTGTTCTAAAAAAATCTATCCAAAAGGACTGAATATTTTTTGTAGGATCCTTGGCCTCCTGAAAAAATATCAAAAAATCCAGATAAGAGAGTATGGATGGATTTCTAGCCCACTGGCTTATTCAGGCCTTACAGGGTAAGAGGCAAGAGCAATTCTACTCTCAATATACCTTGTATGAGCTAATTTCTGCATTAGGTTCTTAGGGCTAGTTGGGCGCATTACAGAGGATGAATGAATGCTTGTGGTTTAACCAGCATGGGTTCATGGGTTCTTTGAAATGACAGCTGATAAAATTCACATGGAATTTCAAGTGTGGAAGGGGTGGAAACTGGGGAGAAGCTCAAAATTTAGTATTATGCTAAAAAGCCTCTTGTGATGACATGAGCTACTACAAAGGTTTATGCAGTTTGCTGACTTCTTTTTCCTGGAAGCTTCAGAAACCCATAAGAAAAGATAAGAGTGTCATTCTAGTTCTGGAAAAGTTACCTGGAGAGCATTATGTTAACATAAATCAGAAGGAATGGAATCAAGGGATGAGCTGAGAAACCTCAGGCTCTTAAGAGAGCATTTGGATGCGGCGTAAGGGAAGGACATAGCAGCCCTTCTTCCATTCCCTACTCCTGGCCACTGATTAAAGGGAATGGCAGAAATCAGTATGTCCATATTCTCCCTTGTATTTCAAGTAGACATTCTGTACCTAAGTCTGTTTACCCAATGGGTAAAGGACTGCTGGGTCAGGCTATTTTATGTAACTTTGACAGGAGCTCACATATCCAGAACACTGCACCAGTCCCTTGGGGAACTTGCTTTATCAAGCACTTCAAAAGACGTGCTCAAATGACTGCTCCTTGGAGATTTAAACAAGTACTTGCTTGGCAGGAACCTCAAAAAAAACACAAAAAACAAAAAACAAAAAAAAACAACCCACATGGATTAGAAACTTGAAGTACTTCTTTGGGAGAGACAGTTCTAGAATGGCACTGCTTTCTACCTTACAAACGTTAACTGATTTAGAGAAAACATGTAAATTTGATGTGTGAACTTCTAAAGTACAGGTGATGAAATGTGAACATTCGGGGTGCCTGGTATAGTTACGTACTCCATAATGGTCTGCTACTCTCCTCATCTGATCAAAGTCTTCTGCTTGAGCCAAAAGGCGCAACCCTTCAGGGTAGAGCTTGCCGCAGGTAGGGTAGAGGGTCTCCCGGTCGTCTTTGCTCAGTTCAGTGCCAAAGGAGTTAAGAGTGATGATAAATGCACGTCTGTCAGCCTCAAACTGAATTTGCAAGACATAAAATCAGTGAAATCTAACCATGTACTAAATGCAATAAACAGAACCCTATGTAGACAAATTCATTTCCAGAGTGATTTGCTTTTCTTTCCTTTCCAGATTTATGTCTAATTATAATACAAACATGTGTTATTAATTTTCCCTTAGCCTCTTTTTTTTTTAAGATTTTATTTCTTTATTTTGACAGAGAGAGAGAGAGCATGAGCAGAGGAAGCAAAGGGAGAAGGAGAAGCAGACTTCCCCGCTGAGCAGGGAGCCCTACATAGGGCTCGATCCCAGGAGCCTGGGATCATGACCTGAGCCGAAGGCAGATGCTTAACCAATTGAGCCACCCAGGCACCCAACTCTTAGCCTCTTTTTATAATGGAGTAATTTTGTTTGCCAGAGAAGGATCACACAGTGTTAATGGTCCATGACTCTTGAAACTCCACTGAACTTTACTTCCCAGGAGCTCTGCAATTCGTTATACATGGGTCTTCGTCACATAGGTCACTGGAGTCTCAAATGTCTCTTCCATAAAAAATGGGAATAGTACCTACTTGCTGGGGTCTGTCCAGGGATAGGACAAGATAACGTAAGTGGAAGTGCCTGGCAGGGTGTTTGGAACAAAGGGTTCACGTCGTAAATGTTAACAACTCTCTCTGGTTCTTGATGTATGATTTTTTTTAACCTAATAAAACTTTATGCTACTTACCATTTGTTTGTACTTTGATAGTTTTGGTTTTATTCTTGAAAGTTCTAAATTGGATATTAATCAATCTAACTGTGTAGCTCAGGATTAGGTGGCTCAGGACAAGTTACCTTCCTCTCAGGCCTGTTTCCTCACTTGAAAGACAATAGGGTTGGACCTCAAGATCTTTCAGGTGGGTCACATATACTCATGTCCTGTCTTTGTGCTGAGCACCACCAGGCACCTGAGCAAACAGCTCCACGTCAGGTCAATTTCCTCTAACCACTCAGTTTTTCCTGAAATTTCTTACCATTCCTTTGGCCTTCATGTTTCTTCTGTCTCTTGGTTCTCCTCCGACCTCCTCCGAGGCTTCCTTCTCAGTCTGTCCTTCATGGGATCCTCTCTGCCCAACATGGGAGTTTTGTCATAGTGTCCTTGAGCTGAGAAACTCCTCTCTCTATACCTGAAACACCCTGCACTTACTTTATTTTAAAATCCGGAAATTTTTCTCCTTACTACACTGTAAAATCTTTGAGGGAAATCATGTTGCTCTTGTTTATTGTTAGTGCCTGACACGTAGGAAGATCATAGCTGTTTACTGAATCCAACAGAATGGTCTGTGATTCTTTCAAAATTCTCCAATATTCTCTACAGTGTTGCTACTCAAGGTGTGTTCCTTGGGTCAGTAGCTTTGATGTCACCTAGAAGCTTGCTAGAAATGCAGAATCTCAGGGCACCTTGTGGCTCAGTCGGTTAAGTGTCCTACTCTTATTTTCAGCTCAGGTCATGAAAAAAAGAAATGCAGAGTCTCAGGCCATAGTCCAGCCCTACTAAACCAGGGCTTGCATTTTAACAGGATTCCAAGGTTATTTGTACACACACAATAGCTGAAATAGATTGCTCAATTCTTTGATCAGCTTACTTTTGACAAATTAACAAATCCAGACCTGCAACAGATTTTACTGGAACTCTTTTGTTAGAACAGGTGTTTCCTATCAGGAGGGTGAAGGTTGGTTCCTTCTGATCCTTTTGATTGACCTCGTGGAAAGTATGGGTGACCCAGAAGCAGGGAGTGGCCTCATTTGGAAGCAAAGGCAGCTGCCCCTGGCTACTGAATGTAACTGTCAGGAATTTTAGACCTTCCAGGGACAGAAGAAACGCAAGAGGAAGACTTCATGGCAATCAGAAACCTTGAAATAAAAATTAGAGCAGGAGGAGCAACAATAGTTAATTGTCCCACATGCCCTTTAATGTGCTTTCTAGCTCTAAGATGTTAGAGTTTTTTTTTCACTTCTTCACTTTTCCCCCCAGTTTTATTGAGCTATAATCGACATACACTGCTGCAGAAGATGTTAGAATTTTCAGGAGAGAAGTGGGGTAGAATAGGGAGCATTGCAGACATGCCCAGCAGCAGAGGCCATTCTAGAGGAGGAAGATGCATGAAGTTATAAAGCACGACATTTTGGAGGAATAGTCATGGCTCCAGCACTGGGAAAGCAGGTGAAGAAGTAGGCCGGACAGGTAGCTGGGAAGAGAACAGGAAAGACTTCACAGGCCATGCCAAGAGAGGACTTTGATTATACAATAGGTTCTCTGAACACTCCAACATCTTGTTCTTGTAAATACTTCTTCCCTTTGCCTACAGTGTGTGTACTTCATTCCAGAACCTTCCATGTTGGAATCTTACTTGCACTGGAGGGTCCCATCAAATGCCTTTTTTTTTTTTTTACAAGAAGCCCTTCTATTTCCTCCCCAATTGGATATGATCTCCTTTGATTCCCTATTATACTTTAATTTCCCTTTTATTATAACTGCCTGCATATGTACCTTAGTATCTGCTTCTAGTCTTAGAGGCTTTTTGTGTGTGAGTGTGTGTATTCTTAGTGAAAAGAACTATAACCTTGAAATTGTAAAAGGGCTATCTGCTGTCTGACCATCCCTAAGCGGACAGTTTGACACAACATCTGATTATGGATGAGAGTAAATGGGGTGGTATTTGATTTCACTTAAGCCCTCTCTATCATTTATGGAGGGTTGGCTTCCTATGTGGCACCCGTGACGCCAGATGTCCTAACCCCTTTCACTCTTCCTTACACGCATTCATTTTAAAACCATAACTTATTTGTTGTTGTTGTTGTAAAGTGTACTGTTGACTTAATCAAAATCATTATCAGTTGCAAATAACAGAGTTGGGCTGTCAGGTCACACATTCTTGCTGGTTCATTAATGGAGGACAGGAATACCTTGTGGGGGAAGTGGGTGGAGGAGAAGAGAGTGAAGTGAACTGGAATCGAGCCCGCCTCACTAGCTCGGGAAGATGAAACACACTTATTCTGTGCTTGTTTTTCAGAAGAGCAAAGACAAATAAATAATAAAAAGCATAAAGGCAAACAGTACACTGCAGTGCATTGCCTTGAATATAAGTCAATTTCTTTTTTTTTTTTCCATATGAAGTCACAATCTTGTAATTAGGTCAAATTTTTGAATGCAAGGCCAGGTTAATGCTCTCTTTTACCATATTAAGTCTTTTGACGTCTCCTGTCAACTGAGATTAAATAAGAACCTATATGGAAGAACTTTGTAACTGGAAGTGCTCTACTGTTGCACAAATAAAATGGGGGGTAATTACGTGATCTGATATATTTATATATCAATTTATATAAATCTGACAAATCTCTTCTGATCATATCATTAGAAACGTTATAATTGCATGCTATGTGTAACGAATACTTCTACATAATGTATAAAGATAGTTAAATGGACTTTTTTTTTAACACAGCTTGAAGAAAACCTAATCTAATGTGGTAGTATCATGGGTATAGGAAAGGGAAAATGGGAACACTGAGTATATAGTAGTTTGATCAAACCCTTACAGTGATAAGGATTCTTCTAATACTACGCTATCCTTTCTGCATTACTGAGGATTACAGAGACAGAATTCTTATCTATTTCTGATTTTTATAGCACATGCAATATGATCTTGCTTATGAATTAGCACTTACTTTCAAAAAGAAGATTTATTTATTTGAGAGAGAGAGAGAGCACAAGCAGGGGGAACGGCAGAGGGAGAGGGAGAAGCAGCTTCCCACGGAGCAGGGAGCCCAACACAGGGCTGGATCCCAGGATCCCAGGATCATGATCTGAGGGGAAAGCAGATGCTTAACTGAGCCATCCAGGCACACTGAATTAGCACTTACTTTTATACAAGAATTGCGAATGGTGAATTTAATGTAGAGGTAATATAGTGGATAAACATAGAGGATCCAGAGCTAGGCAACCTGGCTTCAAATTCTAACATTACCACTTATTAGTTGTGTGTCATCAGCCAAATTACTAGCCACCTTTGTGCCTCAGTTGCCTGTTCTGAAAAACAGATACTAAACTCCCATGTTGTTGTGCTGTTTTTAAATTTTCGTTGTGCTGGGTTTTTTTAGATTTTTTATTTATTCATTTGAGAGAAAGCATGAACGGAGGGAGGGTCAGAAAGAGAGGAAGAAGCAGACTCCCCACTGAGCAGGGAGCCCTGACAGGGAGCTTGATCCCAATACCCCTGGGATCATGACCTGAGGAAGGCAGATGCTTAACCAATTGAGCCACGCAGGAGCCCCCATTGTGCTGTTTTGAAGTGTAAGTTAATTCAAGTATGTAAAGCACTTAGGATAGTATCTGGCACATAATAAATGTTAACTATTAATAGTGTCATTGTATATCTTTTGTAGGGTTGTGTTTTACCATAGCTCTTATTTCACCTATTTTGTGGATATAAAGCACACAAGCCATTTCTAAACCAAAGAAATTATGCCAGTAGAAATTACACTTTCGAGCCATAGATAATGTGGCTTCTTATAGTGTGGCTAGTAGTTATAAATTTATGACCAGAAAGGGGAGTGCTTCATAGGGCCAGCAGGTTACTTATGTTATGTGATCAGAATGTCTGAAAAAGACTAGCTCACTTTCTGACATTTAGGATACCATAAAAAAATGTTATTTATTTGGGGAACCTGGGTGGCTCAGTTATTAAGCGTCTGCCTTTGGCTCAGGTCATAATCCCAGGGTCCTGGGATCGAGCCCCACGTTGGGTTCCCTGCTCCACGGGAAGCCTGCTTCTCCCTCTCCCACTCCCCCTGCTTGTTTTCCCTCTCTCGCTGTCTCTGCCACTATCTGTCTCACTCTATCAAATAAATAAAATCTTTAAAAAAAATCTTATTTATTTATCAATGCCTACTTCCTGTGTAATATAGATAAAGGCAAAAAAGATTTTTTGGAGTTTTCCAGTGATAAATTTTTACTTCAAGGACAGCTTTTGCTTGCAGCATTTCAACAGGGGATAGCAAAGAATCTTTAACTGTAAAATTTTAATGATTAGATGTTTGAGGGGAACTCATTTTATCATATGCAGTTTCAGAATATTAGGTTAAAATATACGCAGATGAAGTTATTCAGGTTTTTTGTTTTTTTCTTTTTTGCCTAAAGGGCAGTTCTTATCAGGCTTTTCTTGAAATCAGAAGTCATTGAACTATTTAATCTACCTACCAATGAAGTCACTGTGACAGATAATCTAATGATTAAAGGTATTCTTTAGACAAAACTTAGTTTCACAGGGCAAAGCCAAGGGCTTTTCTAAGTCTAGAATGGTATCTGCCCCCACCCCATTCAAGTGAAGCCAGCAAAAGAGATCTATTTGAAACACAATACAAACTATGCCCAAGATGTCCCCAGATCCTTCTGATCTCTGGCCTCAAACTCTGAGATCACACATGCAAGCAAGAGGATCTCTGAGCATAGACAAAATCTGTGATGATAAAGAGAACTTAAAAAGATTATAGCATCAACTAGAGAGGTAGAAAGCAGTGGTGGCATCTGACACGTAATTTAGTGAGCATGCCAACTGTGAATCACCTAACCTGAAGAGTCTTCGTACTCAGAGCTGGAATGCTTGAGGATTGTTTGAGTGTCCTTTATTTTAGGATTTATATAAGGAACAAGGCCTACAGTGGACTTTGGTTCCACACTGTGAGAATTCCCAGCTTGCCCAATGTTCCTTGTTGGAGGGAAGGTGGGTTATTATTACAAGTACTCATAGTCTACCAGTTGCTCATAGTATACCAAATTTTTAACTAACTATATTCTACTTTGTTATATTACATCAAAATGAATCATGATAAAACTTTTATAAGCATTATTCTAATTCCAAAATAACTCTTCTATTTAGAAAACTTGGAAAATACCACTCTTAACTGAAGGCATCAAATGATATATGCAATAATATATGTTGTTTATTTTATTTTTAGATCAAGGAGTTTTTTTTTTAAAGTTTTTCTTTATTTATTTGAGAGACAGAGAGACAGAAGCATGAGAGAGAATGAGCATGAGAAGGGGGGTGGAGGGAGGGGGAGAATTAGGCTCCCTGCTGAGTGGGGAGCCCAATGTGGGGTTTGATCCCATGACCTGAGCCAAAGGCTGATGCTTAACTGACAGCCACCCAGGCGCCCGTAGATAAAAGAGCTTCGAACATAAAGAAATGTAAGTAGGATTATATAAGTGAAAAGTGTGTTAGCACATTATTTGGCATAAAGAAATTCAAGGACTTTCTTACCTCAAGAATAGGACACATGATTTCTGCTGTGACATCACCATGATTCTTACAGAATTTATAGAATGCCTCGAGGTAAGACTTAAAAAGAAGATCATAAAACAATAAAATGAAGATATTTTCCTTTGGAAATTTCTAGATCAGCTTTTCATGGCTTATTAAATACTTTAATGGAGGTTGAATTACTTGTCCTGCAGGGCGGTATTTTATTAAAAATTTGATACAAACTTTCACATTGAAGCATGTTGCACAGCTTTAAAAAAACAAAATTGTATTTATCGTCCCTTATGATTCCTTACAAGCACTTTTTTTGCATGGTTCTTGGGTTTATTTCACATGGTTAATTTTTGTTACTCTAATAAGAGTGCCAAATTCTTTTATGAGCTCAACAAATAGTTCTAGATTTGGTCCTGTGCTGACATTTAATCTCTCTTGGTGCTCAGGAGACATGCTTTGAACATGGAGGACACATTGGGAAGGCAGAGTCTGGGCTGAACAGTTAGACTGACTGTGTTTGCCTCCCAACTCAATTACTTACTAGCTAACTGACTTCTGCCAAGTAAATCTTACCTCTCCATGTCTCCGTTTTCTCATCTGAGGAATGGGGATAGCAGATAGTTTTGCTGGCTAGATTAAGTGAATTAATGCTTATAATTTACTTAGGACAGTGCTTTCTGTTAGCTATATCTCAAGGATGCCTCCTCTAAGTCCATACATTTCTTTATAAAAAGGAAAATTGCCTGCAACACAGTGCTTTTGAAAGGACCATATGTTTTAGCATAACCAGCTATTTATATAGCATGACAGCATATACTCCTTCAGTTACTCTGTGAGACTGTCCAAAGATGCTATGGTTGTATGAGTGAAAATGGACAGATTTTGCTCAGCCCATAGGACATACAGCTACTCAAATGGTGGCAGCATAGTCCAGACAGATAGCTGGCCAGGTAGCGCAAGGTGAAACTCAAGCACAGAGATGGATACTACGTAACACAAGGATCACTATGTATGCTGGTTGTTTTATTTATTTTTTTAAATTTTTTAAAGATTTTATTTTTAAGTAATCTCTACAACCAACACGGGTCTCGAACCTACAACCCTGAGATCAAGAGTTGCAGGCTCTACCAACTGAACCAGCCAGGCACCCCTGTATGCTGGTTGTTTCAAAATGGATATGGTTCGCCTTCCTCATCTCTCCACCCACCCACCATCCATCGATCCAATTGGTAGCTTTTATGTCCCAGGCACACCAGGCAAGGAGCTAGGAATGAAGAGAAGAATGGGGTGCAGAACTTCCTCCCAAGAATCTTGTTGCTTCAGGGGAAGCTGACATGTATGTATTGAACTAGAAGACCAGGACTATAAAAGCTGTATTCCAAGTCTGCAAAGCATCATAACTGCAAAAGTTGGCTAATGGGCAAAGTAACTTTTAATAAAGAACTCTGGCCAAGATGTATTATGTCATAAAGAAAAACAGTATTTTGGAAGACACTTACTTTGTACAGTTTATTGCGCAGTAATTCAATATTCAGTTCATCAAAGGTATTTTCAGACATACAGTCTTGAAAGAATGGAGCTGAAAGCAGAAATTATCACAAAATAAAGTAATCCAAAGCATGATTATAAACATTTCCTGAACACATCATCACCCTGGGCTCACTCCTGACTAGAACACTGTAGAGTGGCAAGCCACAGAATGGATCAAGCTACCAGTAATGATGACAGTAAGAGTGATTATTTACTAAATATTTACTATGTGCAAGCTGTTCACTAAACACTGCATATATTTTACCTTATTTGATCCTCACGACACCTTGGAACTATTCACTTTATGGCTTACTTTTTGAAGCCCCCCCACCCCTCATCTCATAGTAGTATTTATCATTTGCAACCTTACTATGTGCTAAGCACTGAGTTGTACTAAAACTGTGTCTTCTGTAGTTTTCAAAGCTCTGTTATACTAACATACTATTATTTTTAAATTGAGGAAACTGAGGGGAACCACACTGCCCCAAGTCACCATGTTGGGACCAGGCAGAGCCTGGAACCAAATATCCATGATTATAGACTTACCCTCTTTCCATCATGCTCCCTTAGCACCACACATTTAATGATGACCCCTTTTTTTTCTTTTTAAAATCTGTTTTCAACAGCAACTATTCTGACACATGATCAACAGTGAATTGCTACTCTCCAGTTTTCCTGACAATAACGTATATAAAATTATCCCATTAGCATTTTGAATGCCAGAACTATTATCGGTGCTAAATTATAATGAAATTAGCATTTATTTAATCATTGCTTCAGGTCATTTGACAGGCGCCCCTGAGCATCTCAGAAAAATGGCATTCCTAAACTTCCTAAAACAAAATGCTGCCTCTATACAGCCTTATTTAGACAGAAGTTTAAAACAAAATTAATCATATAAAGCCCAGCTAGAAAATTAATTTTTTTTTGAAAAATTGCAAGTTCTATCATTTATTTACTATGATCTGGTACAACGTACAAGGTTTGGAGGTTAGGAGATAAGCTTCAGCTCCTACTTGGCTACAAATGGTCCTTATGTGACTCTGGGAAGGTTACTTTCATTTGTTGTCAGCGGAAGTATGAGGGAGCTGGACTAAATGATTTCTTAATGTCCCTTCCACGCCTAGGCATCTGTATAGTATGACACTGGATTCATGGAGAAAACTGTGAATTGAATGTACATTTTCTGATAACTGTAACACACACAGGAAGTGATACAATTGCTTACACATTCATACCTAATGGTGTTTCCACCAGAATGGCTTTAAAGAGATCAGAAGGTGTCTCCGCAATGTTGACTGCTTCCATTTCCGTGAAACGGCCCAACGGGTGGCACTTGACCAGAATTTCTTTCACAGGTTTTTTTTGCAATGCACCGTTCATCAGTAGAATCACATTGTCTATCATGTAACTGCACCTGGTTTAGAAGAAGCCTCGATCATTAGGAAATCAACTGTATGAGAATAAGAAGCATACCACAAGTAAAAAAAAAAAGAAAAATATAGTTCAGGCACATACTCTTTCATTAAGGAAATATATGAGTCTTATTTTAAATTTTGGGGTTTAAGAGATCTGAATGGGGATATCATAGTTTGAAAATCAATGTTGTCATAACTAAGTAAAGCTAAATAAAACCTAAGCTGGTGGGAATAGGCAGAAAACAACCCCTACATTTTAAGTGTCAGATGTGGTAGGGTGAGGATGAATATGAAATTGTGTAGTTTCTCAGAATGGACTATGGGCTTAAAAAGTTGAGAAACACAGACCCGGAGCATTTCACTCTATCTTAAAAACTGACTTTTTAAATCTGCATTAAAGCCCATCATTAACTCAGAATTTAAAATATTTTAAAATAAAAATACTTATTAAATATGAAAATATTTAACATTTATTAAAAATTTAAGATATTCTGTATTCTTTTCCTCCTATGAGACCAGGTAGTGAACTTTCTGTTTTCTTCCTAGGTTCCCAAGAGTCCATAGGTTCGTATTTTATGTGATTATGTTGCTCAATATAAGCAGCTCTGCCCAGGATATCCTGGGTGCATATGCTCATTCACTCATGTGCTCAGCACCAAGGGTATTCCAAGCAATGAGGTTAAGAAGTAAAAGGAAGAGTTCCTTATTTCACAGAGAATACAGTCTGAGGGATAAACTGGACAAAGAATCCATTACGGTAAATTGTAACGAAGCACAGATGATAGGCAAATTATAGGGTGGTGTGGAGATTCAGAGCGGGGCACCAAAGCAGTCTGGGATCAGACTTCCTAGGGAGTGATATTCTGGCTGAAACTTGCAGAATGAGTAGGAGCTGTCCAGGCAAAAATGGCTGGGAATTGAGGGAGAAAATTCTTCAAGGCAGAAGGAAGAGTATGCAAAAAGCCCCAGAGAATACAAGTTTTCTGCCCGTGCTGGGCAGTGGTGGGGCCAAGACTAAGCATGCAGGGTTTTGACAGACAAAATGAGGAATTTGGGCGTGGAGGGCGATGGAAGATACGGAATGCCTTTAAACAGAAGTGGATGTTATGATCTATACAGAATAATGATTAAAACAGGAGAAGGGGTAAACAAACAGATAATGAGGTGCTTTACAAAAGTTATTTTATTTAATCAGGATAACACAACTGTGAGGATGATAAGTACTGCTCTTCTCTCCAATTTACAGATGAGGAACCAAGAGAGGTAAAAATCCCACTCATGACGACACAACTAACAAATCAGACAGCTGAGAAACTCAAGCAGTCTGCTTCTGGGAATCTCTCTCTTAACGCTTGCTGTGTTTAGCTGTCAAGGATGATACTAGGTTTCTAGGTTTAACGGACTGTGGAGCCATTTATTGAGATGAGAGCATTGGAGGAAGAGCAGGTTGTAGTGGGAGTGGATGCTTTGGACAGAATGAGTTTAGATGCCTGGGAGATATCCAAGAGGAGATGCTAAGTAGGCTTCAGAAGTTGGAGTCCTGAAGACAGCCAGGGCCAGACATTTGGGGGGTTTAGTGGGGGAAGTTTAATGATGGAAGAAGTCGTCTTGGAGATGGTTGGGATCACATCCTAAAGTACACATAAAGAGTTCTGCCCTGAAAACCCTGGAGAACCTCAACATTTGAGGACCTTGATGGAATCTGAGAAGGAATGACCAGAGAGTAGGAGGAAAACCGGGGTGGGGGGGAAATTCTAGAAGTTCTAGGAAGAAGCGGTCAGAGCATCAAAGGCCACAAGAAAGTCAAGGTAGACACTGAAAGTGCCCATAAGATGCAGCAACTAACAGGTCATCCGACAACAGTGAAAACACTTCCAGAAGAGTTTATCAATGGAAGGGAAAGGGGAGATGGTGGCAGAAATGTGATCTCATGTGTTTAAAGTGAGCAGGAAATAAAGAGGTCTAAAAAGAAAAAAAGTTCAAACTACAAACTGACCTTAAAAGAAGGGGAAGATAGCTCTATGGAGACCCAGGGGCCAAGGGGCTTTGGACTTCGGTCTTTGTGTTTTTAAAGAAGAAAGAGGGAGCCAAGAGGGTGAGGTTTCGGATCAGGCCAGAGAAGGGGCAAGCCAACTGAGGAGCTGAGGTCCTCCAGGTCTGACGGTGACGGGACAAACCGCTGCCACAATTCAGGCTTGAAAAACAACCAGATAAAAATGAGCCGAGCCGGGTGCCTGGGTGGCTCAGTTGGTTGAGCGACTGCCTTCGGCTCAGGTCATGATCCTGGAGTCCCGGTATCGAGTCCTGCATCAGGCTCCCTGCTCAGCAGGGAGTCTGCTTCTCTCTCTGACCCTCTTTCCTCTCGTGCTCTGTATCTCTCATTCTCTCTCAAATAAATAAATAAAATCTTAAAAAAAAAATATTTCAACTCTTATTAAAAAAAAAAAAAAAATGAGCCGAGCCACTCAGAAGCACTATCACTGGAGTCTGGCTGCATGGGTCACAGACTTCATGCGCAAGAGTGCATTTCCAGCTGGAAGAGAGTCTCCTTCATTGTGGACCTTCTACAATTTACTCCAATAAAAAAATTCTATCTGAACAAGTTTAGAAGCAGGCAATTATCCCTTTATAAAAGGCACATGACTCTAAAGTTTCTTCACCTCCCTAACAGCAGTACCAAATTTAGATATTATAGAATTTTACACTCCTTTTTATCTCTTGAAAATGATATTAAAATGGAAGTGCTTATTTAACTGTCCCTTTATGGCTCAAAAGCTATTACCTGAGAGGGGAATCGCTAGCACTTAATAATCCTTAGCAGGCTCCAGACATTTAATTGTTCCCCACAGCACCTCCGTAATGTGAAAGCCTATCAGCTGCCAACATTCTCAACTTGCAGAGGACTATTAGACCAATGCTGATGGGCAACCAATGTCAATGCTGTAAGGATTTAGCCCACAGGTAACACTCAAAGCCTACGTCTGTGCAGTGCGTGCATGTGGGTGTGCACATGTCAATGCTGTAAGGATTTAGCCCACATGTAACACGCAAGCCTACATCTGTGCAGCGTGTGCATGGGTGTGCACAAAATTCTTTTTAGGGGCTCCTGGCTGGCTCAGTCGGTAGGGCATGAGACTCTGGTCTCGGGGTCTCGAGTCTGCGCCCACGTCGGGGGCAGAGTTTACTTAAAAAATAAAGTAGAAATGAAAACAAAATTTTTTTTACTAATAGTCTAGACCCTATATTGCAAAGAACAAGGACTATAGTGACTGAATTCTGTTTTATTTCAACTCACTATTTAAATGGCTTTGTTTCTAAGACGGAGCAATAACACCAGTTGTCATAGTATTGTTCGGGAAATGGAGTGAAAACCGAGGACTTAGCCCATGGCAGGAGGCAGAAGGGAAGGGGTCTCTTTCCTGTGTCCTCCTTCATCCCCATCATACATATGCACTGGGTATATAATTCTCGTTGGTCTCTGGGGTGGCAGGGGGATGATGTGCCCAGAAACTGTCAGGCTATAATCTTTATAGACCCTCTGGGCCACACAAAGAGTGGTTAGGAATAAAATCACTGCTGATACTGCTTGAGTAATTTTTGAGCTTGAAGACACTGGGGTATTCATTTAGTTCGAAGTCTTCATGTTTTAGATAATTGTGTTCGTATGTAGTGACAGGCCAGGATGAGCTAGGTTAATTTTTCTCTTACTAGTGGTCTAGACAAACATCCTCATTTAGAGCCCCTGCTAACTATTTATTCTATAACTCTAATACTGGCACCTGTGAAAATCATGAAGTCACTGAAAATGGTGATACAGTGACTCAATTTCAAAAATTTTAGGTTGTAAAATTTTAATTTTTTAAAATGCCAGCCCTCTTTGAGGTTTTTCCTGTGTGTCAGGCATTACATGTGTATTCTCACTCAAGCCTCACGACTCAATGCTGTAAGGACCATTATTACCACCACTTTAAATACCTTGTCCAAGGTCACACTGCTAGAAAGAGGCAGAGGGGGCACCCCAAAGCCGAAACTCTGGCTCCTATGAGATTCGGAAAAAAAACAGCTCAAGGCAGACGATATTTTAACACTTCCTTTTGGTCCTAGTGCTGTTCTTTCTTTGCTCCTCAACTTATTTAAGGATCTTGAAGCTAAGTAAAACACATTTCCTCTATGCTAACTTATCAAATTCTGGGCTGATATTAACAGTTGCTGAATGGTCAAACAATGGAGAGCCGTAATTTGGTGAGTTAGAGGAATTATTCTTCAGCTCTAGTCAAAACCTCTCCGCCCAGGCTCAGATCCAGAGTCTCTCACTTCCTTTTTGTGGCTATGACTGCCTGGTTTTCTCAGACACCGCAGTCACCTTATCTCAAAACCTGAATGACCCGTGTTTCTCCTTCTATAATCTCTATCAGCAAACATCACTACTCTTACTCCTAAAAATCTGTCAATGGCTTCCTTTTGCCTCTAGAATAAAGCAGAAATTTCTCATCATTGTATGCAAAACTCTATTACCTGGTTTCTGATTACTTCTCCAGCTATGGGTATGAATAATATTTTTTTAAAAAGTATGCATTTTAGGAAAGTGAATAGAACAGACCCCCCAAAAGCTCTTCAGGGGCAGGAAGACGACTTTGCAAGGAAGACTGAGCAAGGGCCAGAATGGGCAAAGGCGCACAAAGAGAAAATGTCATCGCAGAATGCAAGGGACAAGGACATCAAGAACTGAATACGACAGGAGTTGTGAAAGCGCTGAAAATATATCCGTTGGACCTAGCAACTGGAGTGGTTTGGGGGTACGAGGTAGGAAACAAGACTCAAGTGGTTTGAGTAAACAAGTGAGAAAACAGGTGAGTATAGACTATCCTTTTTAAGAAGTTTAGCATCAAGGTGTGGGAAAGGGTAGAATATCACTGTCTTCATACGGTCATTGTGTAAACTAAATCAAATCATACATGTGACGACATTTTACAAATTATTAAGTTGTCACAGTAGGAGC